ATGCAGGCACGGGGGTTTTTGTCAGGGGGGGGGCGAAAAAAAAATGCGTACTCCAAAACCCAGTCAGATCACACACACACAGTCACGAGGTCCAATCAGACCATGCACAACACGCACACACGCACCAACAACACACACACACACACACACACACTCAGTCACAAGATCCCAGTCAGACCACACAACCACACAGTCACGAGGTCCCAATCAGACCACATTCAATCACCAGATTTAAAAAGCTCAAATACACGTCATTGAGTACTGTATCACAAAGACGAGGTCCAGGAGGGACCATTCGGTCATCAACTCGGGAATGGTCTCATTCAAACCACACAGTTCTGTCAGGTCCCCATTCCCACCACGTTCAAAACGTCCCACTCACAAAGATCGAGGAGGTCCCAGCAAAGTATACAGTGTCTCGAGTCCCCACCAGAACAGGAAAACTACTAAAAAACAGTCAGGTCTATACAAATATATACGTACGTACATGCGTATGTCAGGAGACCCCCACACAACAGAGAACAGGGAGGAATTAAGGACATGGACACACACACACACACACACACACGTACGTACGTCAGGAGACCCCTTCTACACAACAGAGAACAACGGGAAGGTAAGGATGCAAGCGCACACACAGACACACACACACACACACACACACACACACACACACAACACACACACACATCACACACACACACACACACACAACACACACACAAACACAAAACAAGGGTGGAGAGAGGACTTACTTGCTGCTGGCTGGCTCCGAGGTCTTCAAAGACTTGAAGGCCTTCATCCACTTGGTCTTCATGCTTCCACCGCTCGAATTAGACATCTTCCTCTCCCGTCCCTCCGCCCCACCCCCGTCCTTGGACGCAAACAGCTCTTTCTGGCAATGCAAACAGATATAAACACCGGGTGAGGGATACTCCAACGGATCCCAAACAGTGATGCAGCATACACACACACACACACACACACTCTTGGAGTAAGGAGAGAGTGGACCTAGTAGTGATCAGCAGAGGTGGGGCCAGGAGCTGCCAATCGACCCCTGCAATCACAAAATAGGTGCGTACATTTTCTCTCTCTCTCTCTCCCTCCTTCCCTCTCTCTCCTCTCTTTCTCTCTGAAAACGTAAAGTTTATATAGACGGTAACGAGACAGAGCAGCAGGTCTTGGTAAGTTTTTTTTAAGGCTGAGAATAAAATTCGCAAACGCTCTAATATTTTTTTGTTCAATTTCACCTCCCCTCCCTCTCCTTTTATCTGGTTTAATTCCAGAAGCTCACTAACAGAAGCTCACTGTAGCAGAAGCTCACTAACGGAAGCTCACTGGCTTACAGAAAGTCACTGTAACAGAAGCTCACTAACAGAAGCTCACTAACAGAAGCTCACTAACAAAAGCTCACTAACAAAAGCTCACTGACTTACAGAAGCTCACTAACAGAAACTGTAACAAGCTCACTGGCTTACAGAAGCTCACTGTCTAACAGACGCTCACTGGGTTACAGAAGCTCACTGGGTTACAGAAGCTCACTGGGTTACAGAAGCTCACTGGGTTACAGAAGCTCACTGGGTTTCAGAAGCTCACTGGGTTACAGATAATAACTATAATTTGTCAAAGGGGAAAAAAATTAAGGCTGGTGAGAGGCTTTTCATGCGAGGAATTGGAGCACTCTTCCTTTTCTTCGGATCAAAAAATTTCTGCTCCCCATTCCCCATGACCCTTATGGGTTTAGCACTTCTCCCATAATAACAACACAGGATCACAGGATTATTCACAGAGGATCACAAAGGATCGGTATCGCAGGATCAGAGAACATTAGGATCCCAGAGAATCAATAAAACAGTTATCACAGAGCATCAGGATCAGAGATGATAAGCAACACAGGATCAGCTACACAGGATCACACACAGGATCAATCATCCACACAAGATCAAAGTCTTTCTTCAAGGGACTTGAATCAAGTGAACATCTCAAGACTCTTCAGAAATCACTCAAGAGCCCGTCACTTGTCTTGTAGCCACATCACTGGAACACCACTGGAACACCCTTCATTCCCACTGGAAAACTAGAACACCGTTGACTACCACTGGAATACCCTTGATTCCCATTGGAATTTGCTCACCATTTCCACAGGAATGCCTGTGGGGCTCACAGCTCTCTCTCTCTCTCTCTCTCTCTCTCTCTCTCTCTCTCTCTCTCTCTCTCTCTCCATACACCTACTATGACCTCGCTGGTTCATGGTCAGTGGATGGTTGTGGGTAGTTTATGAAGTGACCTTATAGTGTCAGGTGACCACTGCCAGCCTCTTTGTCTGGAGTGGAAATCGATATTTACCGAGTGTTTGTTCAGCCGGTACTTACCGGACTATTGTTTCTTGCTCTTACGACTTGAGTGCCGCGCGCGCGCTCGTGTGTGTATGTGTGTGGTGCGTACTCACTTAGTTCAGGTTGCAGGGGTCGAGTCCAAGCTCCTGCCCCCTCCTCTTCACTGGTCGCTACTAGGTCACTCTCTCTGAACCGTGAGCTTTATCATACCTCTGCTTAAAGCTATGTGTGGATCCTGCCTCCACTACATCGCTTCCCAAACTATTCCACTTCCTGAATACTCTGTGGCTGAAGAAATACTTTCTAACATCCCTGTGATTCATCTGTGTCTTCAACTTCCAACTGTGTCCCCTTGTTGCTGTGTCCCATCTCTGGTACATCATGTCTTTGTCCACCTTGTCAATTCCTCTCAGTATTTTGTATGTCGTTATCATGTCCTCCCTATCTCTCCTGTCCTCCAGTGTCGTCAGGTTGATTTCCCTTAACCTCTCCTCGTAGGACATACCTCTTAGCTCTGGAACTAGTCTTGTTGCAAACCTTTGCACTTTCTCTAGTTTCTTTACGTGCTTGGCTAGATGTGGGTTCCAAACTGGTGCCGCATACTCCAATATGGCTTAACGTACACGGTGTACAGGGTCCTGAACGATTCCTTATTAAGATGTCGGAATGCTGTTCTGAGGTTTGCTAGGCGCCCATATGCTGCAGCAGTTATTTGGTTGATGTGCGCTTCAGGAGATGCGCCTGGTGTTATACTCACCACAAGATCTTTTTCCTTGAGTGATGTTTGTAGTCTCTGGCCCCCTAGACTGTGCTCCGTCTGCGGTCTTCTTTGCCCTTCCCAATCTTCATGACTTTGCACTTGGTGGGGTTGAACTCCAGGAGCCAATTGCTGGACCAGGTCTGCAGCCTGTCCAGATCCCTTTGGAGTTCTGCCTGGTCTTCGATCGAATGAGTTCTTCTCATCAACTTCACGTCATCTGCAAACAGGGACACTTCGGAGTCTATTCCTTCCGTCATGTCGTTCACAAATACCAGAAACAGCACTGGTCCTAGGACTGACCCTGTGGGACCCCGCTGGTCACAGGTGCCCACTCTGACACCTCGCCACGTACCATGACTCGCTGCTGTCTTCCTGACAAGAATTCTCTGATCCATTGTAGTGCCTTCCCTGTTATCCCTGCTTGGTCCTCCAGTTTTTGCACTAATCTCTTGTGTGGAACTGTGTTAAACGCCTTCTTGCAGTCCAAGAAAATGCAATCCACCCACCCCTCTCTCTCTTGTCTTACTGCTGTCACCATGTCATAGAACTCCAGTAGGTTTGTAACACAGGATTTCCCGTCCCTGAAACCATGTTGGCTTCTGTTGATGAGATCATTCCTTTCTAGGTGTTCCATCACTCTTCTGATAATCTTCTACATGACTTTGCATACTATACATGTCAGTGACACTGGTCTGTAGTTTAGTGCTTCATGTCTGTCTCCTTTTTTAAAGATTGGGACTACGTTTGCTGCCTTCCATGCCTCAGGCAATCTCCCTGTTTCGATAGATGCATTGAACATTGTTGTTAGGGGTACACATAGCGCCTCTGCTCCCTCTCTCAGGATCCATGGAGAGATGTGTGTGTGTGCGTGTGTGTGTGCGTGTGTGTGCGTGTGTGTGCGTGTGTGTGCGTGTGTGTGCGTGTGTGTGCGTGTGTGTGCGTGTGTGTGCGTGCGTGTGCGTGTGCGTGTGCGTGTGCGTGTGCGTGTGCGTGTGCGTGTGTGTGTGTGTGTGTGAGAGCGCGATCGCATAACTTTGCGCGTTCGTTACTAGCCGAATACTACTAGCCCTCTGGTGCTTCCAGTCTAAATGAGGAGTTTTCCTAAGCCTTGCTCTGTTAGGTCTTGGCAGGCTGTCCTCGGGCGATGCCCTGAAGTAGACAGTCACCTCTGACTGTCACTTTGGCGTGGAGTGTGGGAACAAGTGGTAGACCACTCGCCTCTTTAGTCAACCGGTATTTCCCCCTCTTCTCTATGCACTTGTGCTCTGCTTTCTCTTTCTCTTCCCTTTCTGATCCCTTCTACCGCTAGTAACTTACACGTATACAGCATTAATATGCTAGTCATATGTGACACAGACCATGAGAGGTATGGCAGAATGTCAGCAGGAAACAGACTATTAAAACAGTGTGTTTGGGGCACTGTGTTATCCGAGAGGATCATCACTCAAACACAGCCTCTTTATCTCAATACATGTAAAGAAAATAGTATTGAGTGAGTATAAGTTTATAATGCAGTTAAATATCAGATATGAAGATATGACGTTAATAACAAGACGCATTTACAAGTTACTGTAAGGTAACTAATATCCCCGTTTCTTCGAGGGGAGGGGGAAGGGGGATGTGGTAACTTTTTAACCTGGGTATCTCGAAACTAATAAAAACCTTTCTCAAAGAAGCAACAAGAGTGAGAGTGTAAAACCGGTCAGAAACAGTGCAGTTTTTACAGACAAATCTCCCGCTAGCGGGAGATTAGCTTGTAAAAAAGTTGCATTTGTGGTCACAGTGGTGCCTGTGCTAACCTTCCTATGGTGTAGAAATATACCTAGTTGGATGAATCTTATTGTGGCTAGCTGGTCCAGTGGCTAACGCGTCGGTCTGGAGTTCTGAGACTCTCTGACCGCGGGTTCTAACCCCACCCGTGGTATTGCTTGTTTGTTATCGTGTCATTACGATTTCGTAAGTCACCCATATTCTTATATACACAGGCACTTTAAGCTTGAAGACGATCCAAAGGTGCATTGTCAAGTTATTGGCGATCATAGCATAAAGCCAATCAGGTAAAGCTTTTGCCAGTTCTTTCTTTCAATGCACCGGCCGTATCCCACCGAGGCAGGGAGGCCCAAAAAGAAAAAACGAAAGTTTCTCTTTATAAATTTAGTAATACAGGAGAAGCGGTTACTAGCCCCTTGCTCTCGGCATTTTAGTCGCCTCGTACGACACGCATGGCTTACGGAGGAAGAATTCTGTTCCACTTCCCTACTGAGAAAAGAGGAAATAAACAAGAACAAGAACTAGCAAGAAAATAAAAGAAAACGCAGAGGGGTGTGTGTGTATATATATGCTTGTACATGCATGTTTAGTGTGACCTAAGTGCAAGTAGGAGTAGCAAGACGTACCTGAAACCTTGTATGTTTGCGAGACAAAAAAAAAAAAAAAAAAAAGAAACACCAGCAATCCTACCATCATGTAAAACAATTACAGGCGCTTGCCAGTTATCACATGGAAATCAATATATAAATTTTCAAAATTTCTATAATAAAAATGGCTAATTGGCCCATACACAGCGCATAATATATACAAACCCTTCTATATGGTACACCAGAGTTAGTTTAAAGTGGATCAGAATGAGCGTTCTTCACTTTTCTAAAACTGACGTTGAAAGTTAAGAGTCAGAAAATGCCTCCTCAGGTCATTATATAGAAACCAAATTCGGGAGTACTCAAAAAACTGCCAAAAGTCGCATGCAGCTTTCTCTAGCTATAGTATTCCTGTGTTGAAAGTTTGAAACCCATCGGGTGA